TGGTTTCTCTCTGCATGCTTCAAGATTTCTCCTTCTCTATTTCTACCCTCCAATCACAACTATTAAAAGAAAACAGAATTATCACTGTTTATCTTATTATTAAAGTTGATCCCAAAATATTACCTTTTTGATTATGAGCTCACTTTGGAATGCTCTGTTTTCCAACCAGAGTTTTTATGAGACCTTCCTTTTCCTGCGGGAAGGAAACACTGGTGGCTGACTCAGTTTGGGGCACCAGTTTGGGTGGTAGAATCCCTTCTGGGTCTCACTTTCAGCCTTAAAACCCACAAGAAAGCTTCTTGGTAGTGAGGAAGGCAGCTTGCATTCTGAGCAAATTAATTATAGGTGTTAATTATCCACCTTAAACACTGACTTCCATGGCCCCTCCTAATTGAAGGTTGACTCTGCTTCTATTTTCCATGTCATTTTCCCCTCCAGGTGGATGGATATCAGAGTGATTGCAAAATGAATTCATTAGAGTAATTTACAGCAAGTGGACTAAGCTCAGAAGCCAGGCTATGAGGAAAGAAAGAGCAAGAGTGTCCGCTGGGGATGATCTCACTCAAGCCAAGACAGCCTGGTGACATGATGCAGAAGGCCCACCTGCTAATGGCCCGAGGGGAGAGGAAAACCAGAAGACCACACAGAGGAGAGTGTCACTGAACTGGGAGTGTCCCGCTGCACCGACTCACCTCCACGCCATGAAGTTAACTCAGGAGAATTTATCTCTATTGGATTGAAACGCAAGTTAGCCCAGAAAGGCCCCTCAGAGGTTCATGGATTTCTGACCTCAGTCTCCACATGCAAAATAGCTGTCTATTTGGTGTCCACATAAACAAAGTCAAAATACGTGGGACAGGAGGAGACAGCCTGGGGTTAGGAAGTGAGTGTTAGAACAGTTGCCAACATTTCGTGACATCCAGGGAGTAGCTTGTTTGCTGGCTGGTTGGTTTCGTCTTTGGGCCAAGTGATACTCCTTCTTTGAGCTGAAGTCAGCAGATGGGAAGTGCAGACCCTCACTGCACACAGAGTATGGAACCCAGGCACGAGGAAGCTTGGGAGGCACTCTGCTAGCTCTGCAGATTACCGGCAGCTGATGCTGACAGGGCAGGGGCGAGGAGGGGAGGCTTCTTAACACCCTGGGTTTCATACCCTGTGGACAGCCGCCTGGGCAGGACTTGGAGCCCAGACAAAATTACCAGGAATTAACCAGCAAGGAAGATTCATTTCAACTGCCCCTCCCCCATAATTTCCTGGTTCTGTCTAGCTATATCTCTGAATTCAAGAGAAAAGTCCTATTTAAAGAACTTGTATCCATTTGCTTTTGGTTTTTTATCCTGAATGATGAACTGTGTGTGGTCTTCAGATAGCAAAGAATGGTAAGACCACGAGGCCTCTGTGATCCTGGAGTCCTTCTGTCAAGCTGTGTCTGGAAAGTGTCCTTGAGCTACTCAGCAGAGTTCTGCTTTTCATTGTGAAGCCCAGCACCTCCTTCTCCTAGTTCCTGAGGTAAGCAAATTGGAGGTGTGATTTCTCTATACTTACCATTTAGTCTTTTATTTACTTATTCATTCAGGTCATTTATGTAACACATTAAGCGCTTAGACACAGTGAACAAAATAGGTAAAAATGGTTCTTACTCTTAGAGATTTAAATTATTTATTCCCTAGTTTTACCCTAAATCTCAGGTCCATTATAATGTCCTTGCCATGAGAAACTTTCTCAAAGTCACACAGTTAGTAGAGAACAGAGCTGGGATTTGAACCCTGGGAGGGAGGTTCAGAGGGACTACACCCTTCTGTGGGACCCCACACTCCCTGAGGGCTACACTTCCAGTCCAGCAGCAGATCAGGCATCTGGTTGGACTTTCCAGAGCCAAAATCAATAGCCCTCCTATGACTTAAGTGACAAATATTTAAAAACATGGTATTGTGTTTAAATTTCACACAAAAGACACTGATCACTAAGATCAACCTCTTCCTTTCTAACAGGTTCTGACAAGCAGGGGAAGGTCAGCCAGACTGCTGAGAGACCAGTGGACTTCAGGAGGGAGGAAAGGATGACGCTGGGATGGAACTGGAGGCAGGTGCTGGTCTGTACTTCTTGGCTTGACATTTTACCTGTCTAGGGGTGAGTCTCACCAATGTTGACACTTGGGATTTTATCTGCCCCTTCTATGAGATCAGTTTGATTGTTTTACCTACATAACTCAAGACAAATAACAGCCAATCAACACAAATCACTATGTGCAAAGAGAAATGGATGCGTCCTTACTTTGCCTATTGGCTTGTCAGTCAGAGGGCTTGGAAAGCAAACTGGGGTTATGCTGCTGTAGGCAGGAGGTTTCCATTGCTGCTCCTGCAGGAAAGAAAATGGAGAAAGAGATGTCAGGTGCTCGGCTGCCTTTTCCATTGCAGGCAGCAAGCTTGCTGCCACTCAGTTCAGTGTCTCGAAAGCTGCAACCTGATTGCTGTCACTCCACAGACCTGAGTCAGCATTTCTGCAGGGCTTCTTCAGTCTGCAGCCTGCGCAAACCCATTTAACCTTGGACAGGGACCTATTGTAAAACCACTTAGGACATTTTCAAAGAGTTCATATCATCTTAACATCAGTTCACAATATTTTCAGCCTTATCTATTAAGGTGCTATCCTAGTACATAGATTAGGTTAATGAAATCTTAAGTAAAAAAATAATTTTACTAATAGCTTACTGCCTAAAAAACAATGACTACATACAGACCTCTGTGTTTCAAATCCTTGATTCTGTATCAGATAATTTCCAACACTCCTCATCTATTATAAAAAATCCTCCCAGGAACCCTTATTGATACTTTCAGCCTTAAAAAAAAAAAAAAAAGTTGGGGCTGGGGATTTAGCTCAGTGGCATAAGCGCCTGCCTTGCAAGCAGGCAGTCGTGAGTTCAATCCCCGGTACCGATAAAAAAGAAAAAGACAAACAAACAAAAAAAATACTTTCAGCCTCAGCTCCACCTTAATCTCCTAGTTGCCAATGTGTTCTGTGAATGATCCCCAATGTAGGACTTTGTTTATGCTGTTCTTGGTTTCTAAAATAAGTTTTCTTCAATATATGCCTGTAAATTATTACCTGTGCAACCAATTGCTGTTCAAATTTCCCTAGGAAATACCTTACAGGTAGTTCTCCTTATCCTCCTCTAGGAATTGAGCCCAGCTCCTTCTCCAAGCTACATCCTCAGCATCTTCCAACGTTTTTTGTTTGTTTTGTTTTTTTAAATTTTGAGACAGGGTTTCCCTAAATTGCTAAGTTGTTGTGGCTGGAATCCAACTTATAATCCCCCTGACTCAGCCTCTCAGAGTGCTGTGTTTACTCTCCCTGCCACAAAGCCATGATGCTATTATTAGAATGCCTGTCACTATTGGCTGGGAATGTGAGCTGCTAGCACTGGGCTCATGTTCTGGTTATCTGGTATCTTTCCCAATCCGGCACAATACTTATTCAACATCGATACTTTCATTCCAATTAAACCAAACATTATTTTAGTCAGCTGAATCTTTTTATGTGTCTTAAATTTTGTTTTTTATTAGTATATGCTTGAAGCCCTGTTTCCATTCCTCATGGGGCAGTGGTGCATGTACATAACACACGTTAATTTTTTTCATTTTCTTCTCTCCATTCCCTCCCCCTCACTCCAAACTCTTGATCCTTTTCCATTTGCCAAAGATCTATTTCCTGTTATCTATCTTTTATTTTGCTCTCTATATTTTTGGATCTTAAATAAATGAAAGCTTGTGTTTTATGTCTTTCACAATTTCCATAACAACCCACCAGATCCAGGTGTCTCTAACCCGAGCCTCAATCCCTCCTACGCACATTTTCACCCTCTTTCAATTTTGTTAGAACAGACATCAATAGAAAAAAAACTGTACGTATCAATAAGCCTCATAAAATATAAATGAACTTTAATAATGAATTAGAAAGTATTGACCCATTTCCACTTCCTGCTGTTCATTAATTGGCTGTGTTTCTTGAGGTTCAGGGAGATTTTTCAGTGGTCTTAGCAAAGGAATAGAATCTCTACGCCTGCTGTTACTAATTATCTTATCCTCCCCTCAACCAGGGCAAATTACTTGTACTCTCCACCACGGTGGTCCTGCCTATAAATGCAATTTGTGTTATTTACATACATCACACAGAGTATTTTGAGACTAATTGCAGAGATATCTGTGGCCTAGAAATGCAAAGCGTATTTCCTGGGGAGGAGGCTCTGCCTTTATCCTCAAGAGAAGCCATTCAAACCTCTGACTTCTTCCCAGAGTGTGAGAACAGGGGCTAGAGGAGCTTTCGAGAGATGTGGATTTCTGTCCATTAGGAGTTAAACTGAGACCAGCAACTCATTTCACAGGTCATGTTCCAGCCATCAAAGTGTAATTACCAACAAACCCCACCAGTGCAGGTCCCAACCATATTAGGGAATGCATGAATGAAAGTTCCAAAGGATTGCATTACCAATTTCCGACTTCCAGAGATAAAAAGACATTGAATGACACCAGGGAAAAGGCCAAAATATATCAACTTCAGACTGCAACTTTTTTTTTAATGGAAAATAACAGTTGCAGTGTTGATGATTGGGAAACACGATTCTGTCAGGAGGAAGTCAATCTGGGGAAGCGGTAGATGAATCTGAAGAACTCTGCCCTTCAGTCTGAGGCTGGTCTGGTTGCTATGGCAACATATAACTAGCTTTCTTAGGGGGTTAGGCTGCCTGATTTTCTTTAGACCAAACATTCCCTTGGTACATTAGCAGTGGGTACACTTAAGACTAAAACAACCTAGCAGCTGCAGCACATAGATTTCTTACCTAAAAATTATTTGTTAGGAACATATGTTCTTTTAGCCACATAGAAATGGGAATTTCTAAAAAATGAGTTCCTATGCAAAACGCAATGGAATATTGATGGGCATATAGTTATCATTAAACGACGTTCTCTTTTCCTGTTCCCTGTTCTCATTTTAGGGTTTCCCCACAGGGTTTGCTTGTTGTTTGGGTGGCCGAGTGCTTGGGTGACTAAAGGTTACTGCTGTATGCCTCCCCACCCATCCTGCTAACTCAGTATTTGTTGAATGTAGGGATGAAGATGCTGATGATGGACTTGGGATAAGGTAAGGAATACGGAATTAGAGAAAAGCTACTGAGAAAAGCAAGTAAGCCACCTTTTCCAGATCAGTGCAAAATGACAGTAACTGTTGTTCCATTGTCTTCTCCTGATAACTTCAGAGCACTCCAAAATAAAGCTGCAAAATTGCTCAGAGATGTCTGCAGAGATCTCTGGGATTGCTTTCCTAAGATTAGATTCCTAAGAGGACCACTAAAGAGTTGTGAAGAGCTGGAAGTGGGACTGCACTGCCTGAAATGTAAGTGTAATTCCTGGTGAAATAGAACAGAAAGCCCAGGTGTTTCAGAGGAAAGACATGAAGGTCACCCAGTGTTGAGCACTAGGATTCATTCCGGGGCATATGCTGAAGGGAGCTTCACCAGCCAGCTCACACCATCCCAGCAGCTCTGAAGGAAAGACTGCATCCTCTCCCATGTCTTGACCTTGCACTCCAAAGAACATACGGGAGACTATGTTCCTCAACTGTGCCCTCTTTGCCATGGCTGGAGGCTAAGAACAATGGCTTCTGTTGTGAGCTAGAAACAGATTCTACCTTAAGGATCACCATCCCTCTATCCAGCTGCATCCCATCACTCATTACTTTAGCTGCCCTTGGTCTCCCTTGGCGCTTTTAGAGAACTGTTAATGAAGCACTTTGGTTGCTCCTGTCACTGCTCAAAAGTCATGAACTACTTCTGGGACCTACAGTTCAGAAACTCTGGGAAAAGAGGAAGGAGAAATTTTCAAATGCAGGATGTGATCTAGATAACCACTGTGGCTTCTGGACCTGGTGTGCAGGGCAGCATACTCGACCTGGGCTAGCCCCACCCAGCCATCTGGAGTTCCTTCCTTGCAGGGTCAAGAGCACAGTGGCAGAGGGGAGGCAGCCTTGGGAAAGGAGACTGGGTGGAGGGGACCAAACACTGACTCACTCAGCCTTAACCAGCCTTCCTCCCTTTTCCACCCATGAGTACAGTTGATGAGCTCAAGTAAACTGCTTATGGCCTCTGTTTCCTCTTTCCTTTCTGGCTATTATCACAGACTTTTGAGCAGAGAAAGGGTCACAGGGGAGAGCAACTCTCACGCATTCTAGCTTTGAAGTTTTCTCCACAAGACCCTGATAGAGCCTGACCCACTTCAGAATTCTCCAGCGCCTCCCACAGCACCCATCGCCCTTAAAAACTCCGCTCAAGTTTTCATTAAATTTCCATTTCCTGGATGTTTTACCATGCTGATTTAAAAAATGTCCCTTGTGCTTTTACCTTCCTTTCCAAAGCTTTATGTGTCTTCTGTACCAACTGTACCTATCACAAAGCTACCATCACACAGGACATAAAAACAAGTACAGCTGTGACGCTCTTCATTAATGGGACTCCCAGAAATCCTCATGTGTCTCTGTTTGTCGCCTGCCTTTATCCAGATACACGTGATCTTAGCTCAAACACTACTTGGTATTCACTTAGTATCATATACGATGTATCTTCTGTGTTTTTACAGTCTTTCGATTTACATTTGGTAACTATCCAGAGTTCCATGACTGAGGTAAGGTATTATGAGTTTCTCACCTTGATAGATACTTCCATTATTTCTATTTTCCTCTTTCATTAAAAATGTTGTTTCAAATCTTTTGAGTCATGCCTTTAGAGTCTTATTTCCAACAGTAGGATTCCTGGGTTGAAGACAAACATTTTTATGGGCTTGCTATGTACTATCCAATTATTACTTTTCAAAATGATTTTGTTGGTGTACAGAGGTAGCTGGCTGTGCTCTGCATATGACGTACGTAGGCGTATCTGTGGCTACACAACACTCACACGTTGACTCCTTTTCTTAACAGCACACCCGTGAAGGACATGCCGTAATTAACTTCACAATTATGGAGGAAGAAGTTGTGGGCACAGAGATGAAGCACCTCAGTGTCAGATGACAATGTCCCTCGTGTGGCTTCACTTGATTCATGTACCCGCTATACCCAGTACGGCCCTGGTTTCAATGAGTAATCACTGACTGTGTCTCCATCCTCTCATTTTCTCAGGTTGTGTCACAATGAAACAATAAATACAGACTCAGGAACATGTGACCAAATTCCAGTTCCATAACTTACTAGCTCTGAGCCCTTGAGCAAGAGAGGGAATCTGGTTAACTCAGTTTTCCCAAGTGTAAAATGGGTGATGTCTATACCATAGGCTTGTTCGGATGGTGTAAACTGAAATTCAGTTCACTAATGAAACATTTTAAAATACTTCTATTTTTCATGTTAATGAAAGATATCCTGCTGTTATTTTCCTTGAAGCGTTTTCCAAAGGAAACTAGCTGAAATCTATGAGTCTCTATTACTATTTAATGTAGAATATCTACAAATAATTGTTAATATATAATATACATTATATTCTAGGCACTATAACTTAGCTCTGTGCAGTTTAAAAACTTTTTTCTTTTTTTTTTTTTTTTTTTTTTGTCTTTTTCGTTTTTATCGGTACCAGGGATTGAACTCACGACTGCACACTTGCAAGGAAGGCGCTTATGCCACTGAGCTAAATCCCCAACCCCCACTTTTTATATAAAATATTTACAAGTAATGTAAAGCTTGTATAATGTATTAAACAAAGTTGATAACAATTATGCAAAATATAGAGTACAAATAGGTTACTAAGGAGTTCATCAAATAACTCTAAACAGGTATGTTATTTTTAAATTCTAAGCAATATCAATATTTTTATATAATAAATCAAAATGACAAACATGAATTTATTTTAAAAAGTCACAGTCTATAAAACAAATTATTTAAAATATTTTTACATGGCTCAGCTATGAGGTAATCAAACAACATAGGTTTAAAAAAGTAAATGCTTATAAAATAATCTGTCTGCCTTGAAAGCCTTGGAAATCAAGTATCCATGGCTCCCAGGCGAGCACACTGTCTCCCTAGGGTGAAGAGGTAAAGACCTGGCCCTGAAAACTGGCTTTCACACCTACTTGATATGAAACCAATTCCAGTTCCATTTCCTCAGTAACAAATATCTACCTCTACCTCCACCTCCACCCCCACCTCACCTCTATCTCTAGATATAAACAAATATCTAGTAAGGCAACATTCTTAAAAACAACAAAACAACACTCTTTGATGTATCTCAGAGGTAATGTACACAAATTACATCCTCATCTTTGGAATGTCAAACCAAATCATGTGCTCTCTTTGCTACGCTTATGTAGTATGATCATTAAACTCTCTCGATATTCAGAAAGGAAATGAAAGTGGGAAGTCAACTATTCAAATATGAGAGAACATCACATAGGAAAGAATAAATTTCTACAGTTCCCCTGTGTCACTGGAGGTCAAGTTCCTAACAAAAATGATCCTTGATTATGAGCTCTAAGAGCTCCAAGTCTCAAAGGACCATAAAAGGGCTTTCAACAGGAGAGGGAAGAGAGCAAGACAGGGTCCACAACCCATGGCTCTGCAAAGCAACAGCTTAGAAGCCCACAGAAAATTTGGGGACACATATAAGTGAGTAAGAAGCATGCTAGGAGCTGAATTGTGTTCCTCAAAATTCATGTTGAAGTTCTAACCCTTAGTACCTTAGAATATGGTTGTGTTTGGAGATGAAGTTGTGTGTCTTTGGTTTTTGTTGTTGTTTGTTTGTTTTTTGAGACACAGTTTCACTTTGCAGTTTGGGCTGACCTTGAACTCACTTTATAGCCCAGGCTGGCTTCGAACTCAGTGATTTTTCTGCCTCAGCCTTCCAAGTGCTGGGATAACAGGCATGTGACACGGCATCCAGATTGGAGATGAAGTTTTTAAAGAGGTGATTAGATTATAATAAAGTCATTAGGACCCAAATTCTTTCTGACTGGTGTTCCTGTAAGAAAATGTGAATATATATATATAAAATATATATAAATATATATATATAAGAAAAAATATATATATATTTTTTTTTCTTCAGGAAAAAACAGCCATCTACCACCCAAGGAAGAGGCCTAAGGAGGAATCAACCTGTGCATACCTGGATCTTGGACTTTTATACAAGAAGAAGGCTGAAGCAATTGTGAGAAAAAAAAAAGAGTTCTCATAGAACTGTGAGAACAGTTTCTGCTGTTGAAGCCACACAGTCCATGGTACTTTTCTAATGGCATTCTTAGCAAACTAGTACAGGGCATCCAGGACCAACAGCACCTGAGTGTCAGTGGAAAGGGCTTTGGAGCAGGAGGCATCCAGTGTGGAGGAGGTTCCATTGTGGGGAGATTGGGCTGTAGTGACCAGTGGCAAAGCAGGGGAGATCTTGAAACGGGTGGGGCTTATGTGTCAGCACTGAGCAGGCACTGAGGATGTCTAGGCTCATGTGATGCTGCTTTATCTTCAAGAGCTCCCTGGGTCTAGGTGGGAGAGGTATACAGATAATGCTTAAAGGAGTAGTAAATGCTAAGGGTGAAAGTGTGCAGAAGAGGCTGTGGAAGAAAGAAGGCATGACCAGCCCACCCAGGAGAGGTCAGATCAGTTGCTGAAGGCTCCAGTGGGAGGTTCATGTGCTGAGCCTAAGAGGACAGAACCCCAGCAAGGTGGACCAAGAAGTGGGGTGAAGAGTCCGGGACCATCTAGAAAGGCTTGCAGTATCAGAAGAAAAGGGAAATATGTGTGAAAAAATTACAGAATAAAAAGAAATGTTGACTTTGTATCTGTGAACTCTAAGTTATTTAGCACTCTTAGACCTCAGGGTGAGACTCGGATGAGAAGAGACGGTGCAGGAAAAACAGGGAGGAAATGCAGAAAACACACAATTCTCTTCCTACAGTGCTGGACAGATTTGATTACTTGGAGGGAAGAGTGTAAACTAGGTAACCATGGGGGCTACAGCTGCCACATCGCAGGGAGGACAGGCCAGTGCTTGCCTCTCTAGACTGCTGAAAGTAACAGGACGGCTAGAGAAGAAGCTACAATAACTACAGTGGAATAGGGCTGCTGGACAGATGAGATGAAGCAAGCACAGGATTCCACAGGAGCACAAGCAGAGAAGCTCTAACCCAGACTTATGAAGTGATCTTCACAGAAGTGGTAATTCCCACTTTGGTCCATTTTCTCTGATACACATTTCTGCCTTTAACTTCAGGAAGACTGAACTGTGTCATCCACCACAATTCTAAAAACATTTTCTTCCCTCTGAGATATTTCCCATTGCTCTCACGTGTAGATTGAAATTTCATGTTGCTATACAGGCACTTCTTGGACAGGTCTCTTCCTCCTGACTCATGTTGAACCATTGTCCTCATTCTTTCACAGCAATTTGCTTCTTCTCTTCTTTCTTCCAGAAAAAAAAAATCTTCTATCACCCAACCTTGGTTACTCACTTCCATTTCTAAGTCAGTCTAATTTTCTTTTTAGTATGCAGCTCTGCTAAATTCCATGTGCTTCTATCCTTTCATGCTGCAAAGCCTATCGTCATCAGCTCCATGACAGCTACAGTGATTTACAGTGGGTTACATGTTTGTGTGGCTTTTACCCTGAGACCACATGTAATTTTCTCTAAATCTCATGACTCTAAGCTCCCAAGCACCCCAGAGCTCTCCATATTCTTGTCTCCCACTATATTTCCAAAGTAGAGTGTAGTACAGCCCCTGGCATATCTCAGGCATTCAATAAATATTTGGGAAAGTAATCAAATAGTTAAATGAGTTCCTAAGATAATTCAAAAAGGAAAAGTCAGGCAAAGGAAATAGGGTAGACTTTTCCAGACAGTGGGTAAGCACACATATACAGAAAGATGAGAGAAGGCAAACATAGTTGACCAGTTAGTTGTTTAAAAGGTCATGCTGTGCATAGACCTTCAATCACATGAAGGTAGAGGAGAGCAAAGAAAATATTTTGGGCAAGGAACATATGGACTGGCTATGTGCTCTGCAAGGAACACAATGGGGTCATGGTGAAGAGCAGGTTGGAAGAGACTGAGGCTAGGAGACCCAGACACTGGGCAGGATGCTGGAACCTAAAACAAGGCATGGCATTTGGGGATATGGAGTAGAAGTCATATTTGGGGAACTCAGTCTATTGCCCTTAGCACAGCTACTTGCTGAACAATATTAAAATCTGTCATTTGACGTGGTTCTGTGCACAATGTTGCGTTAGTATTGTATGTTTTGTTGCCTCAAATAAACAATAGGGTGGAAGTGGCTGTAGATTGTGGATGGGGAATGGGAGAGACCTGCACAGTGACAGAGGCTGGGAGACTCAGGGAGACTATTATTTAATTAATTAATTTTTTGGTACCAGGGATTGAACTCATGACCTTGTGCTTGGCAAGCAGGTACTTGTGCCACTGAGCTAACCCCCAAGCCACATGGTGAGTTTTAGAACAAGGTGTGCTGTCTTTGTTCCATGACAGAGCAACAACCTGTGAACAGGTGCTGTGAATAAATAATCAAGATCTAAATAAATTATAGTAGAAACTCTTCTGAATAACATTTTGGCAGCCAATCACCTGCACAGTGGCTCAGTCAGGGCCAGCTCTATCGGCCTCTCACTTGGCTTGGGTAACATAGGACACTATACAGAGAAAGGCCCCAGGCTTGGTACAATGCTATGTTGTTGGCATTTTGAAATTGTTAATTTTAACTTTAAAAGTCATTTCACAGGTGAAGGACCATGGAGGATGTGCACAGTGGAGGAGATAAAAACAATACGCCCCTCACCATCTTGTTTGCATGAAGTGTTCACTGTGTGCAGAGAGTTCCAGTAGCACTAAGAAGCGTGGGAGCTGAGAGGGAGAAGAAGCAAGGGAAAGTGAGGAGGATGGGCTACGGGACAGCCGAGCCAACAGACACTGACCAGGACTGCTGCCAGCGCAACATGAAGGCAAAGTGCTGGGAGAAACACAAACAGCCGAGGCACCTTATCGTATCTTTCCTTACTGGTGTTACTTTCCTATGTCAGCCAGACACTTACGAGGAAAATGCCAACACAGAAAGTAAGGAGGCAGCCCAGTTCTTCTCACTCACAGACTAAAAGTGGAAGGTGCAGGTAGACGTTTGTGCACCATCTGGTCCAAGCACCTGTGACCACTCCAGCTGTAGGGCTCAGCTGAGGTTTGGATTGTGGGACCATAGAGACAAACACAAGTGCTATACAAAGAGATGTGATAAATTACTATTAGAATAAATCCTATGCAATTCTAAAATAACAACAATCTACTTTATATTTGAATGAAACTTTTATGGAAAATGTATACGACTAAAAGTTCTCACGTTTTCAGGACTTTCTCTGTTTTCCAAGCAAATGTTTTTGGTCGCTACTCTTATATCCTGTTTATAGTGCAGTGAATGAATATGTTTCTTGACACAAAGTCTCACTGGGTCCAACCTGGCCTTGAGCTCACAACGATCCTCTTGCCTCAGCCTCATGCATACTGCCATATAGATTTGCCCCACTATACCCAGTGGTGCATGTAGTTTTTGCATGTAGGTTTTACAAACTTTTGTAAGACAAACAGCTCCGAACAGAGCAATGTGGAAGATACTTTAGCTCATTTCCTATAAGCTAAAAAATGACTCAGAATTACTCTGATAATTCTGATAAGAAATATATGTAGCAATATTTCCAAACCACATAGGTCCTAGTTGTTCTAAAAATGTCTTCAGCACTAGAAACAAAATGAGGAGAGGTGGTAAACAGCCTGCCAAGTGGAAATACAACCCAAAAGTAGAATCTTCCCAGAGGACAGGCAGGCGGGGAGATTTAGGTGCAAAGGTTAAGCACACCCCACCCACTGACTGCCTGTGACTAGACCCTCTTTTCCAGAGCACGCACACTCATTTTGTGATTAGTAATTAGCAAAAGGCTTAATGTACAAGTTACCCTAGGAAGATGACATTTTGGTTTTAATCAATAATATAGAAAGAAGCGAATGAGGGAGAATAAAATCTTAAAATGAAGTTTTGGCAGGAATAGAGTAGAGAGAAGCCACCCATGACTGTACCAGAGATTGGAATACTCTGGGTGCCCCAGTGGCACCTGACCCGTCTTTGGGCCTTGGCTTTCCCATCTTATATGTTCTATAACACAAACATTTATGAGCCAGAAACAGCCCTTTGCATTTTAATCTTAAGTTTAATGGAGCTATAAAATAAATGTTCCCCAAAATACTGTCTGCATTGCAGACTCTACCCCCTGCAATCTACATTATTTTAGGCAACCAGTTGTGACCAGTTGTGCCAGGTTCAGGATAGGTGTGGTGTTTCGTGGAAGCAGCCACTGACTCCTGACTAAGTGAGCTCCCCTCACAGCCCTGGTGGTAGGTGTCCCCACTGGGAGTGCCAGCGAAGCACCCACTGAAGGGTTCATGACAGCCCATTGTGGACTTGCTTTATATTTCAACAGTTAAATCAACTATTCCATCTTCTTTCTTAGAAAATGTGATCCATTAGCTACTTGGCACTCAGATGGAAAGTACAAAATTTGGCATTCGAAGATTCTGGATTCATACTTTTTTGATGCCTCACAGAGGAAAGGAAGACCTTGCTACTATTTCTCTTACCTGTCCCCCTTACAGTTTTGTTCTGAGAGGCCCCTGTCACACATACTGAAAGAGGTATTTTTAATACTGTCATTCTCAAAACCATATTCCATGAGATAGATATGAGTGTAATTCACAAATGTCACCATCTCTATCTCCAAAAAATTCACAATACAACTTATTTTAGTAGAGACAATGCATGCCAAGGTCATTTTAGTTTCGGTTTTTATGGTGAAAGCTAAAAATGAACAGGTAGACACAGGGCACATTTCAGGAAAATGCATTTCTTAGGAGGCTGGCTCGCTCTGACATTCCACTGGGGGTTTCCCAGACTTTGTGGGCCAAGAAAGAAAACCTGAGCTCCCTGGGACAGTGATCTCCTGCTCAGCAACCTGAAGGTCAATCAAGACCCCATCCTGGTGGAAACTCTTTCATACCATCTCTCAGCCATGGCCCCGAAGGAAACCACTGTTTCTAAAACCTATCCTCCAACTTTCCATACGTTAAATTATACAGAATATAGTCTTAGGGGTCTGCATTCTTCTCACAGACATCATATTTTTGAGATTCATCATACGTTATGTATGGCAGAAGCCTACTCATTTTCTCATTATGCAGTGTTCCATGCTGCAAATACATCACAATTTATCCACCTGACCACTCACTGATGGGTATTTGTGTTGTCTTTAATTCAGGACCACTACAAACAATTCTGCTATGAAAATTTTTACCCCTCCTTATTGATATACATATGTGGAACTTTTCTAAAGAGTACATTGCTGGGGAAAGAATTGTTCTGACATAAACCCTGCTTATATTCAATTTCAGTAGACAATAGCTTTTCAAAGTGGTTGCCCTATCCGCCCTTCACCAAATTTATACTCCCTCCAGTAATACCCTTTATTATGTCTCTGTAACTGCTTGTATTAGCCAGAGTTGGTTTCTGCTACTTGCAAATACGACCTTAGCGAGACAAAAACAAAACAAAACAAATAAAAATAAAAACAAAAAATCTTGAGAGCAATTTTCCAGGTTGAGAATAGCAAAAAGAAAGGCCCTGAGTTATGATATACTTTGGATGAGCTATGTATCAAGCAATTACACACACATATATATATCAGTAACCAAGAATAACCTTACTTACCCATTCTTACTTCCCAGTTTTATGCCAGGTACAATGTTAGGCAAAAACCTATGAAGTAATGATTAAACTGTAGTATATTAAAAAGCTAACACTGAACGCGTGAGCATAACTAGTTAAAATCAACTATAAAGAATGACAAAGGGGCTGTGGATTTAGCTCAGTGGCGTAAGCGCCTGCCTGGCAAGCACAAGTGAGTTTGATCCCTG